GGCGCCGAGAGGACCAGGCAAACTTTCACTTTCCCCGGGCCGAGCTTCACTGGCCAGCGCTCGGCACAGCCTTTTAAGCGACTAGCTCGTGGGGCATGTGGTTTATGGGAAATCACCCTGGACAGGCGCCAGACACACACACGCACTGACACACACTCACACACACACTCACTCCAGAGGCCCACTGAGCCGCCTCCCCACCGCCTCCCCTCCCCCAGCCAGCCGCCGGTCGTCCCCGCTCGCTCGTCCTCCCAGTCGCCCTGTGTTTTCTGCGCAGCGCTCCGAGGCCGTCAGCGAAGTAACGCTGGCTCCGCTGCTCCCCACCCCGCCCTTTCCCGCGCCCTCTCTGGACAGAGAGGCCTGCTGTGTTGTCCATGCCTGCCCATGCCTATCCCATCCTGTTAACCTCTTTCTAGTACTTCCCAAGGGACTTTCCCTCTAGGCCTGAAAATCCCCAAATCAGAGCAGGAAATGGGCCCGGAGCTTGGACAGGCATTGGGAGGTGAGGACAACCCTCTGAGACTGGGGCCTCCCCCCTGCTGCACGCGGCAACCCCTCCTGGAGCCTGAGTCAGCAGGTTGGCAGGCAGGCCCCTCCTTCTGTGCAGACCCCCAGCGTCTTGATCCCCCATACTGACAGCGATGCCGGCTACCTGTCCTGTCCGGGAGGGGAAAGACTGGGTCCTACGACCTGCCGCCTTCCCTGCCAGGAGACACTTCAGGTACTTGACCCCTGGTGTTGTGATGTAAATGCTGGCTGATACCCAACCTCCCTCTTGGCCACCAGAGCCAGCGCAACTGCACACCCTGTACCTGGGCCCTACATTTCTCTTGATGCTTTTGAAAATGCATTCACAGAGCTGATTAATTGCATTTCATCTCTACTGTGAGAATGAATCTTAATGAGGCATAATAGCATGGGCCTATTCTTTATAAGGCCAACTTCAAGAGCTTTTTCTTTCCTCAGCTCATTCTGATTCAATGTGTTTCTATCCCTATCCCTGGGAAATATACATGGGCGGCCTGGTCCGGAACAGACAGCTCATGTCATTCATCCTGCACATGCCTCGCTCAGGCCTCAAACACTAATTTTATACACGCACACCTTTACTCAGGCCGATCCTTCTGCTTGGAATGCTCTTTCTCTCACTTGTCCATAAGGCAAACTCCTTGTCCTTTGAGCCTGAGATGATGTATCTTCCACGCATGAAAATTTCAGTGACTCCATTTCCACATTCCCGCTGGACTCCACTCACTCCTCCACGGTGGCCCTGACAAATTGTCATCCATTTATTCCCCATATTATTTTTAAAAAATATGTAAGGTGGCACCGATGGTTATACTCTGGCCCTTCTCTGGAAGATCTTCTTCCAGGGGGTATCCATGTTAACATACCTCTGAATCAACGCAAAATAAGTAGCCAGTTAGTTAATGGTCGTCGAATTGGATGAAGTCATTAGAGAGTAGTTCACTCACTTGACAGATTTGCAAAAAGTGCTTACTATGTGCCTCCACTGCACTGGACCCTGGGGATGAGGGCAGACATGCTGACACAGTCCCTGCCTTCATGGACTTGTTAGCAGTCAGAAGCTATGTATGGGGCAGTGACTGACACTCAGAGCCTTCAGAAAGGAAGGCCAACCAGTGGCACAGGGGTTAAGACAGTTAGATCCCCTGTGGCCAACTGCAAGTTCAAGTCCTGGATCTGGTGGCTTTTTTTTGGGGGGGGGGAGGTTTTTGCTATAGGGCACATGTGCTCACCAGAAAGACAGAGAGACAGAGAGACCAAAAGAGAGAAATCACCCCACCGGGGGGGTGGCCACGCCACAATCCCTTCT